TTACTATATATGGGGATGAATTACTATGGGGGATTAATTACTATATGGGGGATTAATTACTATGGAGGATGAATTACTATATGGGGGATGAATTACTATATGGGGGATGAATTACTATGGGGGATGAATTACTATGGGGGATGAATTACTATATGGGGGATGAATTACTATGGGGGATGAATTACTATATGGGGGATTAATTACTATATGGGGGATTAATTACTATATGGGGGATTAATTACTATATGGGGGATTAATTACTATATGGGGGATTAATTACTATGGGGGATGAATTACTATATGGGGGATGAATTACTATGGGGGATGAATTACTATATGGGGGATGAATTACTATGGGGGATGAATTACTATAAAAACTTATTGAAACTAAAAACAGTGTACCATCCTATGTATTTTCCGTTTTAAAAATGTGGCTCTGAAAATAAATTTCAATCGTGGTTTTGGCGAGATTTGGCTCAGTTGAAAAAAAAAGTTGCCCACCACTGCTCTAGGTAGTTCATTGATCCTTCCTGTCACTCAGTGGGGTTCATTTACTAAAGTCAATTAGATTGTTCACTCTGCAAGTGCAGTTGCTCTAGAGCTTAGTAAATGAGCAGAAGCTCTGCTGACTCCCATCATCCAATCATGTGCAAACAAAAATTCTGTTTTTTTTAATTTTCCTTGCATGTGTCCCCCACTAACCATTAAGGATTGGCACCTTTGGGGAGCAGGTACCGAATTTGACAGGTACCCGCTCCCACTTCCGCTACGATTGCCTAGGTGATCGGAAGCAGAAGTTGTCCTCCTCCCCTCCCTCCCCGTAGTCTTCTGGGACACGTGACAGGTCCCAGAAGACTACAGGGCCATTCACAAAGTACAGCACTTCTTACGCATGCACAGTGGGCACCTGACTGTGAAGCCACAAGCTCTCACAGCTGGGTGCCCACACTAAAGATGCTGGCGCCAGGGAGAGAAGACGGCCGGTGAAACCAGCGTTGGTGAGGAAACCGCTGGACCAATGGACAGGTAAGTGACTGTATTTTAAAAGTCAGCAGCTACAGTTTTTGTAGCTGCTGACTTTTATTTATTTTCTTTTCAGGTGGAACTCCGCTTTAACACTCCATATTCGTACTCCATATTTGTGTTGCTTTTTTATCCTTGGCAAGTCTTTTGTCGTTATCAATACAATTCTTTTATATCGGTCAACTTTTAAGATATACTGTATTTAGAATCCTTTAAGTAGATTTGCAAAGTGCACAGTTTATATGCCTTTAGTAGATCAACACCAGTAACTACCTGACTGTATGAGGTATGGGCAGACAGCTACACTGACAGTCTGCAGGAACCTTACATGATCTGCTGATCGAGGGTTCAATGCTTTGCAGGCTCCTAATTAAAATAAATGCAAATTTTTTTTAACTGAAAAAAAGATGTGCATTTATTTATTCATTTATTTAAAGGTGAACCTAGCCTTTAACTTGTAGTCTGCCTTACTTTTTCTGCTCATCAGCTGCAGTCATTTATTCAGCCAGCTAGTGGAGCTCTAGGCTTCTTTTTATTGCTCTCTCTCCCTTCCAGGTGTTCAGATTACATACTGGTAGATCAAAATGAGTGAAACTTTACACAGAACTGAATGAGTCAGAGCAATGACTCTCAAGATACACTATATTGTGATAATATTTAGGGACACCCCTCTAAATCATTGGATTTAGGTGTTCCAATAACCTCCATGGCCACAGGTGTATACAATTAAGCACCTATAAACATTTGTGAAAGAGTAGGTCACTCTCAGGAGCGCAGTGAATTCAAGTGTGGTACCGTGATAGACAGGGGCGGGCTGACAACTCATGGGGCCCCCGGGCAATAGGGGATCATGGGGCCCCTGTGTCCTTGCCCAAACTCAAAAAATCCTATGAAAAAGGTACCAGGGGCATCTCATGGGGCCCCCTACTGACCTCGTGCCCTCGGGCAGTGCCCAAGTTTCCAAATGGTCAGTCCGCCCCTGGTGATAGGTTGCCACCTGTGCAATAAGCCCATCCGTGAAATTTCCTTCCTACTAAATATTCCACTGTCAACTGTCAGTGCTTTTATAACAAAGTGGAAGCAACTGGGAACAACAGCAACTCAGCCACAAAGTGGTAGGCCACGTAAAATGACAGAGCAGGGACATGCTGAAGCGCACAGTGTGCAGAAGTCACCAACTTTCTGTAGAGTCAATAACTAAAGACCTCCAAACTCCATGTGGCCTTCAGATTAGCACAACAACAGAGTTCCAGTGAGGGGAACTCTTAAGGTGTCAGCATACCAAGACATTTTGGACAATTTCATGCTCCCAACTTTGAGGGAACAGTTTGGGGATGGCCCCTTCCTGTTCCAACATGACTGCACACCAGTGCACAAAGCAAGGTTCACAAAAGACATGGATGAGAGAGTTTGGGGTGGAGGAACTTGACTGGCCTGCACGGAGTCCTGACCTCAACCTGATAGAACACCTTGGGGATGAATTAGAGTGAATACTGGGGGCCAGGCTTTCTCATCCGATCCGACATCAGTGCCTGACCTTACAAATGCCTTCTGGAAGAATGGTCAAACATTCCTAATCACACTCCTAAACCTTGTGGACAGCCTTCACAGAAGAGTTGACGCTGTTATAGCTGTAAAGGGTGGGTCAACTCAATATTGAACCCTACGGACGAAGACTGGGATGCCAGTAAATTTCATGTGCGTGTAAAGGCAGGCGTCCCAAAACTTTTGGCAATATAGTGTATATACACGACTATGCAAATGTTTTAGGCAGGTGTCAAAAAATGCTGTAAATTAAAGTGGTACTAAACTCCAGACTTTTATTTTTACCTACAGGTAAGCTTATGATAAAGCTTGCCTGTAGGTAAAATGAATATTTCCTAAATGTGCACTGTTTAGGAGATATTCGCTTCTTTTGACAGCCGGCCTATGTGCTCTGAAGGAATGGCATAGACATGCCATTCCTTCAGAGCACTGTGCCGTGGTCCAGGACGCTGGAGAGCTTAATTTTAAGGTAAGTCCTTCATAATTTGCTAGTATGCTATGACATTTTTTTTTTAAGTGTGGTTTACTACCTTGTTATGAATGCTTTCAGAAGTATTAATAGTTTATCAATTAACAAAATGGAAAGTAAATGAACAGAAGAGAAGTCCAAATCAAATCAATATTTGGTGTGACCACCCTTTGCCTTCAAAGTAGCATCAATTCTTCTATGTACAGTTTTTGAAGGAACTTGGCAGGTAGGTTGTTCCAAACATCTAGGAGAACTAACCATAGATCTTATGTGGAGGTAGGCTGCCTCAGATGCTTCTGCCTGTTCATGTAATCCCAGATAGACTCCATGATGTTGAAATCAGTATTTGCCTGTAATCCTCAGCATTGAGGACACTATTCACCCTGACCAAATCTCCAACTCCATTTGCAGAAATGCAGCCCCAACCTTGCAAGGAACCCCCACCATGCTTCAATGTTGTCTGCAGACACTCATTATGGTACCGCACTCCAGCCCTTTGACGAACAAACTGCCTCCTGATACAGCTAAATTTTTCACATTTTGACTCATCAGTCCAAAGCACCTGCTGCCATTTTTCTGCACCCCAGTTATGTTTGCACATAGTTGAAACACTTAGCCTTGTTTCCATGCCAGAGGTATGACTTTATGGCCACAATTCTTCCATGAAGACCACTTCTGGTGTGACTTCCCTGGACGGTAGATAGGTGTACCTAGGCCCACTGGTTTTTGCCATTTCTGTGCTGATGTCATTGCTGGACATCTTTTGAAGGGAAGTAAGCATGATGTGTCTTTCATCTGCTTCATTAGCTATCCTTGGCGACTACTGCATCTACTGTCCTCAACGTTGTCTGTTTCTTTATACTTCTTCAAAAGACTTTGAACAGCACATCTTGAAACCCTAGTCTGCTTTGAAATCTTTGCCTGGGAGAGACATTTCTGATGCAGTATAACTACAGTACATTGTGTCTTGCTTCTGTGCACAGTCTTGCCATGTCTTTCACAACCTCACCTTAGCAGCAGAGTTTGGCTGTTCTTCACCTAGTTTTAGGCCTCCTACACAGCTATTTCTGTTTCAGGTAATGACTGTATTTCAACCTACATATGAAATTGAGGATCATTAGCACCTGCTTGGTATAAGTGGTTAATCATACATCCAACTCTAATCCCTGAACTTGTGCAAGTGTACAACGTGGCTTCAAACCAGTATCAGTTCTTACACTTGCACAAAGGGTTGTCACACCAAATATTGATTTGATTTTGTTTGCTCTCTTTGCATTTTGTAAATTGATAAACAATTAAAATATCTATTTTTTAAAGCATTCTTACTTACAGCATTTCTTCACATCTACCTGAATATTTTGCACAGTACAGAATATAGAATGATCTATATACAGTATAAATGTATTTTAAAACACTTGCTGGCAGAAATATAGACAGTGTGGTGATGTCATCTAGGTATTTAAATATACATGGTTAGGGGCTCCAGGGTTTATGGCTGCTGTGGAGAAAACAATTTGCTTTCTCAGTATCTTAATAAATTAGAATGTAGCTCCTGGAGCACAGAGGCTTTGTAGAGCCTTTGGTGGTACAAAACCTCAATTCCTAGGTCTATTATTAATTTTAGCTGTCCATAGGCCTTTTTATATACAAACAGACTGATGATCAGGTGCTACGATACCCTGTAGCCTTATATATAAGTGTTCATCCACTTGTAAACCCATGACAATTCCGTTTAAGAAGACCATACAAGGTAATGGTGCTATTAAAAAAAAAACATTATCAGAACATGGGGAATGTCGTCATGATAGTGAGATCCCAAACATGTATCTTGGTCCTACTCTCCTATGGTTAGCCAGTGCCTAAGTTGATGTCAGTATCCTAATATTTGAATAATTTTAAATACTACGCATACCATATTCAGGTTCCACTGATTAAATCCACACAGGAGGAAGTAAATATTCCCACATAGTTCTTCCAGTACAACATGGCTACAGAATTTATCAGCCAGCAATTTCATAATATTTGTTGATGGCAGAAATTCTTTGTGACCAAAAATGCTCTAAAATAAAAAAAAAAATGAAAATTAATTTTCACAACTGATATATATTGCAGAGGAAAATATATTTGTAAAAGGGGGGGAAAAGCAGGAACGCAGTCAACAGTAAGCCTGCATTAAAGAGGTTTCTTGCAATAATTTAGGTTTTAGTTTTGCAACAAAATTGTCTCCAGAATCTCCAGTATGAAGATTGCACACCTTACCTAGGCTGGAGGCTTTAAAGACAGTGGTGGGTGCATTCTGAAAGTAATTCTGTGCTAAGAGTTATGTCAATTTCCACTGTAGACCTGAAATTAATTGTGGTTTGGTTATCTCTAGCTTCAATTCTTTGTCTTTAATAATGAATCATTACCATCAGAAACACATGGAGCAGGTAAAGGCATAACTCCAGATTTGAACACTTGTTCTGGCTTAGCAACTCAAGTGTTAAAGCCATTGGAACGGTTTGTAGGGTTTCTCCAATGTGGGCCAACCACCAATTGTCAACAGCATGCTCTTTTCTCTTAATGACCTAGGAGGTATCTATGACCATGTCTTGAACTGTGGCCCCCATGCCCCCAGGGTTTGCACAGAGAATTACCATAGTGTTGCTTGACAAAATGTCAATTATGGGTCTTCAAGTATAGCAACCAATAGTGATTAAAACATGATTTGGTAGAAAAAAACAAAAGAATTAAAGATTTATTCTGACTGGTATCAGGGAAACAACATAGACTGTTTTGTTACTTAGGCTCTTCAAAACATAAGTCCTATCATCCCTAAACTATATGTCATACCTCAAAAAGAAAGTCTGGCACAAATTTGGCAGCTTCAATTGGACCAATGGGATGTTGAAGATTAACCACCGGAGCAAGGGCAAAAAATATTTAGATTTTCTTGGCTAGCTGGGGCATAGTAGAGAATGCTATAAATGCTAGACAGAGAAAAAAAAACAAAAAACAAATGTTAAGCACAAAATATTCAAAATACCACAAGTAATTATTTGACCTACATCCTGTAAAGCGTACTACATTTTTATGCACCAGTCAAGATGGGTTAAAACCTTGCATATTAATCATGTTTTGCCCTCCCACTAATACTATTTGACACCTCTATTGTAAGAGACCTGTATATTTTTATTACATATTTTTTAGTCATTGGAAAAAGAAAACAGGCAGCCTTATCTATTAAATAAAAATGGTTTAACTTCTCAAACTCATGAGCATACAGTAACATATTCAAATACAAGGTTCTGCCAATAGCTTACGCTACCCAAATGGGTCAAGATTTTTATGTGCAAACTTAAAAAAACAAAGTGTGAACACTGATGAAAATAAGCTTTGTAGTCCTATACATGTTCTATAAGGTCAGCTACCTGACAATGTATAAATATAAGGTAACCTCTAGTGGTAGAATCAGTATACCCAGAGATATAGTCAGCTCTCGACTCCCACCCCTCTCTGCTTCTGAGCATCATTAAGGGTTAATGAGATCTGCCATCATACAGTATTGTGTAAATTAGTTGGAACAAGCATGCCAGCACTGTTTCATGACTCTATATTGGATCTATGCAAGTTTAAACTTGCTGCTGATTGATTTCTGCATGTCTAAACTTGTTTGAGAAGGTGCTCTCCTATTTTCCACTCTTTTACTTTAGTCTGAATTGATATTTCTCGGTGAGAATGTGACTGAAGTTGGTTAACTATATTCAATATTATTTTGTTATTTTTATACAGATGTACTGTAGATGTAGATGGATATCACTTCCCAACAGTGATCCAAAACAATTGTTTTGAGAGAAAATACTGAATTAATTGTTCAGGAGATAGCAAATACATCAAGTGTTTCAAGGATTGTGAACCTCTATCAAGAGACAGGGTTTGCGGACACTTCTCAGAAAGGACATTGTGGAAGAAAAAGAGACTACGCTGAGGCATGATAGTCTGATCAAAAGAATTAGCATCATAAACCCAAAGAAGACCAGGGAGCTTGCATCTAATGGAGTTAATGTGAATGCTTCTACTGTGCACCAGCTACTCCTCGAATGTGGTTGCAGAGCCAGATTCCCAGTCATGAAGCGGCTCTTGACACCCACTATGAAGAATAAATGGTTGTTATGGGCAAAGCAGCATAGAGACTGGACTTTTGAGCAGTGGAAGAAAGTAATATTTTCAGATGAAACCCAATTTTATGTTCATGGATACAGGTCAAACGTCATTTGGCGGTCACCTGGAGAACCTCTTCAAACTGACCAGATCCAGCAAGCCCCCAAACACCCACCTAAAGTTATTTTGGGGGGTGCTTTACTGCTTATGAACCAGAATACTTCGCCCCATTGAAAAAATGATTGAGAGTAATACGTATGTAGGTGTTTTGACAGCAAAACTGACCACAATACTAAAGAGGCAGTTTCCTGATGGAGATGAAATGTTTTAGCAATGTCTAGCTTCCTGACACAATTCCAAGTTAACGAAGGACTTTTTTTCCCAAACAAAAATGTAAAGTATTGGAATGGCCAGGAAATTCACCAGACTTAAACTTGATAGAAAACCTGTGGGCCATTGTGAAGGCTCGCATGGGAAAGATAGATTGTACAACAAAAATAAAATGATAGAACGTGTTCTCCAAATGTGGTTAAGGGACTCAAAAGTAAAAGATTTGTGTGAAAAATTAGTGACATCAATCCCTAAGAGGGTAAGGGAGGCAATTAAAGCTAAGGGGGGCCATATCAATGACTGACAGATAGTAAATAAATTAGTTTTGTAAATCTGAAATTGTCTCACTGTAATTTCCTGTTTGTCCTAAATAATTTGCACAAAACTGTATTAAAGAAACAACAGGGAGGCTACAGAAGTGGGATGAGGGCCGGCTCAGCTTTAAGAGGAAAGATATGCACCAGCTCCCTATAACTCTAGATTATTATTATTATTATACAGTATTTATAAAGCGCCAATAGTTTGCTCAGCGCTGTACATTACAAAGGGAGACAGAATATGTGACAGAACAATAACAGTACAATGCAAAACATGAGGGGATTGAGGGCCCTGCTCTTTCGAGCTTACAATCTAGGAGGGAGGGGATGGTGGCACAGGAGGAGAAAGCTGTGGGGGACGGAGTGGTGGGAAGAGTGGAGGAGGTCGGCAAGTTAGCAGGGGGTGGGGTAGGCTTCCCTGAAGAGGTGGGTTTTCAAGGTGTGCCTAAAGGAGAGGAGAGTAGGTGATAATCTGATGGGTTGGGGCAGGGAGTTCCAGAGGATGGGTGACACCCTGGAGAAGTCCTGGAGGCGGGCATGGGAGGAGGAGACCAAGGAACTAGAGAGAAGGAGGTCTTGTGAGGAGCAGAGTGCGCGTGCTGGGTGGTACTTGGATATTAGGTCGGTGATGTAGTTCGGGGCAGTATGCTGGACGGCTTTGTACGTCAGTGTTAGGATTTTGAATTTGATCCGTTGCGCAATCGGAAGCCAGTGGAGGGATTGGCAGAGGGGGGTGGCAGAAACGGAGCGGCTAGAAAGGGATTAGCATTTTTTCTGACTTAATGGTAAAAATTATTTTCCCATATGCTTAATTCTAAAAAACCTACTAAACTGAATTCTGTGTGGTGAAAATGAGGTACTACAGTGTGTGCATTAACACTGGTTTCTACTTATTAAATAAACCTATGATAGGAAGGAGTACTGGAAAGAAAGATGATATCATTATTCATAACTGAAACCTAAACATGAAAAGTCATAGATCTACAAGTAACTTGCACTCTTGAATCAAAACTCACCAATAGTTGTTCCTTGAGAATGGCCAATGTAATATATTTGTTTCTGACCTGTTGTCTCCAAAATGAAATCTATAACAGCAGGAATATCTTTCTTTGCCATTTCATCATAGCTGGGGAAAAAAAGAAAAGTGAATATATCTTACATAACTCTAATTTATTTTTTAGATTTGAATTAGTCTTTATGGTCATGATAACATACCTAAACCCTCTGATGTGGACTATATTCTAATGGACTTAATCAATAAAACGGTGCCAGGAGCCAAGTGTAGTATCCAGAGCAACCAATCAGATTTCATCTTGCATTAGCGTAGTTTCAGTGAATTATGATAAATTGCTCTGGTTTATTGTAGTCTGCTCTTAGCACTTTGCTCCATACACTATTTGTAGAATAAGTTTCTATATTTACCGGTCATGGGCTGAAAAACTGACTGTGCATAAGCGAAAGACATTGAGAAAGTAGCCATGGTTTAAGTAGTTATTCTGAAAACATACTAATAAAATGGCAACATCAAGCCTATGCATAAAAAAATGCAAAGAACAAAATCTCTAGAATTCAAAGTGCAGTTGCTCTAGTGGCCAATCAGACTTCATCTTTTACTAGTGTGGATTTAGCAAACTGAATTCCTATTGGTTCCCATGTGAATTCAAGTTAATGTCTGCAGTTTGCACTTTTGCTTTTGCTCCTTACAAATTAATATGAACCTATTATAAATAAATATAAACCTCACAAATAATTATAAATAATAGAGTGAAATAAAGAATAGCATGCTTACACACCTAAAGGCCCAGAATTCTCTATCTTTTGGTGACAGGCTTTTGTGTTTCCGGGACCAGGTGTTGCCCCGGCTATTTCCCATCCAGACATCATAGCCGGCATCAGCCAAGATAAACCCCAGACTATTGTGCTTAAAGTTAGCGACCCAGGTACTGGCATCCGCAAGCAGGCCATGTTGTAAGAAGACTACAGGTTTACCACCTAGAAGATCAAAATATGTTATTGTGGTGAATTGTAAATATGAAAATGTTGGCTGTGACAGCTCAAGTTAAATATAGATTTTAAATTAGCATACTAACAACTTGCTATAAGAAGACTCACAACGCTGACAAAATTACTAATAAACATACTGTACTCATCTGCCCCTCTTTCCCCTTTGCTAAGACGTAATCACCCCACCCACAAGTTATATTTTTAACATTTTCTTATCAAATAATTCAATTCCAATACATAAACATCACATAGGTATGGATTTTGGGGATTTTATTGAAATAATTGTTACACACCTCCATTTGTACTGAACTTTCTTTAATTGGATCATTATTAAATGAAGTCTAAAGTCAAAACTTTTTTTTAGTTTTGGATAGAGTGGAGAGGGATTAGAACACCTGCCAAGGTTATATTGCTTTCTGTGCTCTATGTGGTGTGGTATACAGATATCTGTGGAAAGTTTTTTATGTAAAGACCATTAAAAAGATCTGTAAATTCCTTTCTTGACAAAGCAAATCCAGTATTGTTTGGCTCATTTGCCGTGTTCATATTTTGAACGTCTGCTGAGAGCCTCTTAGCTATTAGGAGAACATGCTCCACATCAAATTTATTTAAAGAGTAAACATATTAACAAGAACACATTAGTATGTTACCTAGGCTGTTGGCAGGGAAACAAAGAAGGAGCAGATAGCATTAAAGCTGAACTCTGGGCTCAATTCACAAAGCAATAAGGTATGTGATATTTGGATCACGTGACTCGTTTTATCCAAATAATGCATGCAATAATAAAAATGTAAATTTCTTATCTTTTATATGGTTGTAACACCCTCCTAGTTAGCTAGGGGAAGCTCTAGTTCAATTCTTAGTGAGGAGGGCTGAGTAGAAGCCTGGGTGTGATAGCTAGGTGGGTCAAAGTGCGGTCAGAGCTGAGGCTCTGCAGACCAGCTCTCTGGGATTTCCCACTGTTATAGAACTTTGGAGAAGTATCTAGCAGCAGTGGGTGGAGGTGAGGAGTGGCTGGTCTGTACTCTTAGAAGATCCTGGTCAATCCCCAACAGGAGACTTGTAAAGGGGCCAGTACAGCCTTTAAAAGTAACTGAGTCTGCTCAGCAGCAGGAGAGTTGGGAGAGGAGTTTGGGTGGAAGATGGAGAGGAAGTGAGGCTGGAGAGCAGGAGCCGGGGAGGGGGCCCAGATGGAGACGGGCTCACCTCCAGTCAGGAAGCTCGGAAGGAAGAAAGCTTGGGACTTCACCAGCCAACAGAGAGCCTATTTTTCTTCCATATGGGGAGGACAGGGAAGAAGCAGTCCAGCTAGAAGACTTGGTAGCAGCCACCGACCCACCATTTTTTGCCTGTCAGCCAGGAATCCCCTGCTGATAGCTGAATGAGTAGGACAAGGTCACTAGTTGTTAGGACACAGGAGGGTGCCATTTGCTTGACAACCAACATCTTTGAGCTGGAAGCATAATATTTAGCAGTAGAAGGGATACCACTGCAAAAAGTTTTATAAAAGGTGAAAAAAATTAATTAAATACCGCAAAATAAACTTAAAACGCATGCGTTATTTTGAAGCGTTTTTTTTGTTGCTAACATTAATGAACATATTTACATGAAAACCTTTGTACCCGGAGTTTAGCTTTAATTGATACCATGCTTTTTTGGTATAATTCTGAATGCTGTTTTAAATGTGTCACCATTCTATATTCTGATGAAAAATGGTAAAGCAGCCAACACTGGTATTTAAGTTATGGGTGGAGGATGGTGGGTTGAATGTTCCATTGGTTTCTTATACACATCAGAAGCTCCAGTAATATAAATATATTGTTATAAATGGCCTCTCTAATTCCTGTGACTCACTGCTTCTGCTCTTTGAAGGACACCTGTCACAGGTGGTCATTAATTGCAGCCCCTGTACTTCTCTCATGACAGGTTGACGTTAATTAAATACAACCCATACATTCTTTTGTGTAAATAGGGGGCAAAATCAAATGTTCTCAGGCAATTTTCTCTGCAGGTCGAACGTTATTCATTGTATTTTATAAGTATGCTCCTCAGCACCATCCGGTAGGCACAATGTTGTATTTTCCTCTTTCACGCAGTTTTGTGTTTCACTGAATACCTTGATCTGCAGAGAATATAGTTTGAAAACATTTGCTTTTCCCTCCTCTCACAGAATGAACTTACATGCAGTGCCAATGGGCAAACAGTTTTCTTTTCTTTTCTTATAAATACACCCTTTAATCTCTTTATTTTCCTTTCCTATTCCTGTCTAGCTATCATTCCCTGCTTACTATTCCAGCTGCATCTCTTTCTTTCTATCCACCAGAACTGGAGCCTCCAATTTGTTACTTTACTAATACAAACATGGCTCCTTGTCAGTAGATTGTGAAGAGCACAGGAAGCAGCTGCCTCCAAATTGTTCATTTTGTAATAGAAACATCACAGCTGTTCAAAATAAAAAAATTCAGCCTGTATGTGGAAATTTACTAAGAAAACATGAAAATACCTGAAAACTAGGAGCTTCTAAATAAACTCTCAAAAGGTAGACAGTTTTCCTTTAATTGATTTCATTTGGACCTGAATGATGTACATCAGTAGATGTTTGAATTTGCATAATAAACCTTCAGGCCAAGTATGTCCCTTTGCAATGACAATACAAAGTGAGCAAATATTATAAAATTATCACAATCAATGAAAACTCAAAACATTTATTTAACCTTTTTTTGAGCTGATGTTCCTTTGCCTTTTAATAATTAAATTGATAAATGCAAAGTAGGACATCTCTTTACATTTTTATTCTCTATGGCTGTGATAAAGTCAGGAGAAAAAAACAGCAATCATTGTACCTAGCTTATTTGTATAGAAAACGTCATACAAATCTCAGGGTGAAATGCCTACCAACACAAAGGTATATCGCACTACCCCCTTAGGAGTCGCTGCGTTTTGGGTTTCCTTTCCCTCTTGACCCCACTCGGAAAGCCCAACCCCTGCTGATACCACCATACACTCCTGGCCAGAGTACACCCTCTGAATATTACTAGAAAATAGGCACAGTTTAGAATGAATTGCTGTCTTGTTTATATTGGAATTGAATGTGAGCACAGTAAAAATAATATGGAGTATTAAGTGTGCAAATAATAACAGTGATCACTCTTAGTATTTTTTTTAAGCAAAAGTCAATACAGACAGAAAAAAATCTCAGTTTTAGATGTCCTGCAATTCAGAGTTTGACCCAAAAGATCTCAGCTCTGAGATGTCTCCTTCCCCAGTGAGCAAAAAAAAAATACAAAAAGAGTAAGGATAGCTTAATTTGGGCCCTCAGAAGCTGGTGACTAAGTTCAATACTGAGAGAAAGAATGAGCTCTTTAAAACTGGAAATTAATGTCTCTTTCACTGCAGTGTAGGGTCTTCTGTGCGCTCATTGGGGCCCAAGTTGGTGCATTACTAGAATTCAGGTCACCTTGAATACAATAGATGGAAGTTCCTTAAAGGATTAATGCAAGAACAGGCACTACCCCTTTAACCAATATTCAACTTGGGCAGTACCCCTTTAATATCCCAACTGAGTAGAAGATTTAAATGGGTGGTTTGAGGAGCAGGCAGAAGCACTTGTTGGCAAAAGTTGAGCCCTCTCTAGGTCACCATAGCAAATGGCAACAATAGATAGTGTCTCTGGATGAATGTGGGCCAAATGCAAGAGAAGCAGTGGTGGGGCTCGGTCCACACTGCAGTGGGCCGTGGGTTCGGATGACTGGATTATGCTGAAGATGTGTTTGCTACTAGTCCGCGTGAACTAGGCCTCAACATGCGTAACTTGTCAGTAACTAGATAGAGAATGGCTGATTTAAGAGAATGTCAGTGACAACTTAATTTCGGTGGCATTTCGGGTCACTGGCGGTCTCTCTGTAGGTGGGGGCCCCTAGTAGTCCTGCGGTTCCTCATGCAGAGTTCATTCATGACAGCAGCACTCTGGGTCACCAGCTGACAAGGTAGTTCTCCAAACTCTTTGGTGATGTCAGTGATCAGCTATTCCTCCCTTTTTCTCCACTCGCTCATTCTGCAGCCTGGATTGGTCCTCTGGCATCCCACACAGCCTTCTCTCCACACACCTTCCTACCAGCTCTCTCTCCCAGCTCTCTTCCTTTCCCCAGGTTCCCGAGCTTCTACCTATATTTGCCTCCACCCGCATGCCAGCTCCCCTGGGAAATGTAGTTTTTTAATTAACTGCCTTCTAGCAAAGTCCTGCGGTTCAGCCTACAAAGTCCATAGAGCTTTTCACCAGAGTGTGTGTCACTAAGTTGCAGGACACCGCCTCCTTGTATCTTTTAACATCCTGCAGTCTGAATATTATCAGGTGTTACAGGTATAAAAAGACCTTTGGTCATAAAGGAGTCCATAAAGTAAGAATCACAAGTTACAGTTGCAAACAGTTTGGTGTATGGCTGTCACTAGAACAGGAATGAAGGGGAAGAGGGCACTTGCTCCAGGGACAATTGTCTTACAGCCAATTTCCTTCATGTTGAGGAGAATTCCAAGAAATAATCATTCCCTGCTCCACCAAAAACTAAACAAGTTAAAAAAAAAAAAATACACACGACAAAGGTTTGGTTTTAGAGATGCTTTAAACACTTGCCCTCTAGATAATTTAACCCCTTTCTGAACAGGCCATTTTTTGCGATACGGCGCTGCGTTAATTTAACTGACAATTGCGCGGTCATGCAATGATATACATAAATGAAATCTATGTCCTTTTTTTCCCACAAATAGAGCTTTCTTTTGGTGGTATTTGATCACCTCTGCAATTTGTATTTTTTGTGCTATAAACAAAAAAAAATAATATTATTAACTTTTTGCTAATAAACATGTCCAATTAAAAAAAAAAATCAAACTTAGTCATAAATTTTGGCCAAAATGTATTATGCTACATGTCTTCGCTAAAAAAAAATCCTGATACGTGTAAATTAATTGGTTTGCATGAAAGTTATAGCGTTT